CATTTACACCTCTACTACAGCACTTATCCATTCATTTTATCGTCATGACTGTTCCAACAGCTCTTTGTATCCACAGTGTAATAAGCACAGTGTCTGGCATATATTAAGCATGTAATAAATACTTACTGAATAAACCAACCATAGAGGATTGGAAGAATTTAAGTAGGGAAGAATGCTCTCACATAAATATTTCTAGATGTTGTCTGATGTAAGTTTTAGAGAAGGGTAGACATAAAATAAGTGTTAGCTGAGGCTTCTATGTCCCATGGGAAATTCTATTCAAACACCATACGATTTGTAAAGTAGGAAACACAGGACCAAAAATTAAATCACTTTATTACTCTCACTTAATTTCAACTGGTTGAAAAATGCTTTTACACGGGTTATTAAGTATTTCCCACACAAAGAGTCCAAAATTCATTCACTGTTTATTCTGCAATAGGAAGGTGATGAGTACCTACAATTCATTTACCTCCTTCTGGGAATGACAGAAAAACCGAAGTTAACGTATTTATTTCTAATTCCTACTGCCCAGATAAATTTTTACAAGTCTCATTTCTCTCCTTTGTTTGCTAGAATAATTGAAAACAAAACAAAATATAAATAAATAAAATCCTAGGGTCCAACTATAAAGATTCATGTGGGAATACTTGTTTTGTCCTGTGTTTAATTTTAGAAAGAATGTTGTCAACGTTCCTTTACTCACATAACTTTTTTCTTCAAGGTGACCTGAGTTAAAAGATCAAACTTAACATTACATTATTTTAAAAAGAAATAAGTTCTTCAAAGAGGGAATTCATGGAAAAACCATACCAAAATCACTTTGTCCAAACTTAAAAGTTTCAAACTGATACAAATAAAGAACATAGTTTTCACATTTGCTTGACAGCCAAAAAAAACAAAGTTCTTATATTTCAAGCCAAAGTAACCGTAATACACTGATCTACTGTGTTTGCACTGGAAACTGTGGTATTTAATTTCCAGGTTTGTGGGACAAAATGGGCTTAGTGTCTCACAAAGCATGACACACAAGTTTTAAGATACAAAATTTACATTGCTGCATGCAAAAATAATTGCTATTGCTGAACTAAAAAATTATTCCACTTAGCTAGTGCCATGATAGAAGCTAAAGAGATCTGGTTTCCTATGGAATTAAATTTTGTGATGGCAGACTACTTAAGTGTTTGCAGCACTGACCACCATACACCCTAATTCTAACATTAGTTAGCAAGTGTAAAAATACATCAGGGGAACTCTGTGTTAGGGTGTTCTAAAGCTGCTCTCTTTGAGTAGCAAAAGCAACAGGACAATACACTTTCCTTTATTTCAAGAGGAAGGGTGAGGGAGAGAGAGAGAGTATCAATGATGAGAGAGAATCATTGACTGGCCTCCTCCTGCACACCTCCCACTGGGGATGGAGCCCACAACCCAGGCTCATAGGTCGACACTCAATCACTGAACCACACCGGCCAGCCAATACACTTTCTTTTTGTCAATATAGTTAAGCGCTGCTCTTTCTACATTTCTACCCTAATGTTCAAGTCACAACTATGAGGAATTCTCCATCTGGCAAACTCAACTATATTTCAAGTAAAGACTGCTTTCTGGCCATAAGGCTCTTCTACTAGCTACAGTCATTCAGATCAAGCCAATTTTTCCCGTATTACAAAACTTCGGAGAATGACAACTACTAACAGAGAACACTCTGTTAGCATTTATTAGTAGACAAAGTAATCTTCACTCTTCTAACAATGACGCTTATTTAACATACCCCAGTACCAAAGGAAACTAAAAGAACCTAAAAATGAGGGTACAACATAGCAATTTAATTCATATTTAAAATTTTTATTATGAAGAACAATTGGTATAACCTTCTAATCGTCTAGGCATCTAAAAAACACATGCAATAAAGTTATTTTTTGCCGTAGCCGGTTTGGTTCAGTGGTTGGAGCAATGACCCATGGACTGACTGAAGGGTCTCGGGTTTGACGATCCTTGGATCCCAGCCCTGGATGGGGCTCATGAGGGAGGCAACCAGCTGATGTGTCTCTCTCACATCGATGTTTCTTCTGTCTCTCCCTCTCCCTTCCATTCTCTCTTAAAAAAAAAAAATCAATGGAAAAAATATCCTCAGGTGAGGATTAACAACAGAAAATTATTAAAACAAAACAAAACACGCCTATATATGCATTCGTCTTCCCGTAACATGAGAAGTGAGTCTCATTTATATGTGCATTTACCTGAATTCATCTATATGCACTGGGAGAAAAAAAGAGAGAGCTTAAATTTTTGGTTCCCTTAGCTGATCCTCAGTTCCCTAGTTCATGCGTGCCACTCAGTGTATAAACACTTCCCTCACTGTGTATGAGTCTAATATTAGTTGTATCTGTTACACATTGTGACTCCTAAATGTAAACCAACTACTTCATCTGGGGCTCACAGGGGAAAAAAACAGCATCTGTTCCAAAGCTGGAGGAAACCTGGCCATGCTGGAATTTTGCTGCGCTGGTATGCCTACACCCATCATAATGCTCCCCTAGATTTTCGAGGGTAGCTTTGATCATTTTGCATCTGGGCTGGCTTTGGAACCTAACCCACACTAAGTCATACCTCCCCTCCCCCAGGCTTTATATAACTCCTCTCAAGATCCAATTTTTTTTTAAAAAGAAAGAAGTAAAGGCTTTGCATTACACAACCACACATAAGGTCTACTAACTCATTCAGTTGTATTTTTGAAGTAAATCTTTACAGGGGACCTATGATGTGGAAGGCACAGGGCTAGGCACTAACCTGGCGCTCTACTATTTAACAAGCGAGGAACTCGCATTCAGTAAGAAAGAAGGTTGGCACATGAGCAATTTAGAAAAGCAGAATAAGAGCAAATGCTGTAAGAAAATAGAAGCTTAGAAGTTCAAAAAAGGGAGATAAGAAAAAGCATGAGGGAAGCTTAACTGTGATAGTAGCTGTGACACTGCAGTGAAAAGTGGTGGAAATTTGAGGCATACAAAGAAAAATAATCTGTAACTCGAGATTGCCAGAAATCACAAATTTCACATTCCAAAATCAAAACGAAAGGAAGGGTGCTTTCATTTCCAGAAACAGTGAGATAATTGACACCAATCCTGTACTTCTATGATAAAAAATAAATTAAATAGCATTAGCCGGTTTGGCTCAGTGGATAGAGCCTGTGGCCTGAAGAGTCCTGGGTTCAATTCCAGGCAAGGGCACATGCCCAGGTTGCAGGCTCCCATCCCCAGTATGGGGTGTGCAGGAGGCAGCCATTCAATGATTCTCTCTCATCATTGATGTTTCTATCTTTCCCTCTCCCTTCCTCTCTAAAATCAATTAAAAAAAATGTTTAAAAAATTAATTAATTTAATTAAATAACTGGAAGAAATTTCTAAAATAATTCTTAAACAGAAAAGTTAACAAGATAGTAAAGAATTTGCCCAAACCCTAGCTGGGTTGGCTCAGGGGATAGAGCATTGGCCTGCAGACTGAAGGGTTCCAGGTTCAATTCTGGTCAAGGGCACATGCCTGGGTTGCAGACTCAGTCCCCAGTAGGGGGCGAGCAGGAGGCAGCGATCAAGGATTCTCTCTCATCATTGATGTTTCTCTTTCTCTCTCTCTCTCTCTCCCCCTTCCTCTCTGAAATCAATAAAAATATATTAAAAAAAGAAAAGAATTTGCCCAAAATCCAAAACCAGAAATAGAGCCATTATCCAAACTTGTTTTCATCCTAAGGGTTTCTCTGACCTTAATGCTGTTGTTTTGGTGCCTTTGTGAAGCAAAAGAAACTAAAGCCCAAATAGGATGTGAAGTCTGATAACCATCTATTTATTTCTCCATGTTAACCTGGTACACCAAAGAACTACACCTTCAAGGTAAAAGTGAAGTGGGAAGAAAAAGAGCATAAATAATGAGCAACAGAAACAGACTCAAAGGGAATTCAGACAGTAGATTTAAAACATTCAGATTATAAAACAACTACACTTATCATGTGTAAAGAAACAAAAACCAAGCCTCAAAATTAATAGCAGGGAACAAGAAGCTGTAAAACCGTGGTAGAGCACATTTGAAAAGACCAAATAGAACTTCATGGAAAAAAAAATGCAGTAACTGAATTTAAGATTTCAATGGATGAGTTTAATGACACATTAGAAATAGGTTAGAGAATTAACGAAAAAGAAATTATCCAGAATGTAGTATAAAAATAATAAAGTGAGAACAGAGTAAAAAGGTCTATGTTAAATCAGTAAAGAAGATAAAAACAATGGGGCAGAAGCAATAGATGGATATAAAACGGCCGAGAATTTGACAGATCTAATGAAAGACACTAATCCACAAATTCAAGAAGTCTAACACCAAACAAATGCAGAAACCCGAAGATAAAGACTGAACAACCTTTAAAACACCCCACAGTGACGAGTGAAACAGAGCCTATTTAAGAATGAAGTGGGATCCAAAGGTGATCCCCCAGTGAGCACACTGCAATTGCTTAATTCAGCTGCCACCCAGGTGTAATTCCACTATGGCTGAGCTGAGCCTATGGCTGAGCCAGGCACTTAAATTACTTTGTTTACCAGATATGTGGTTTTCCATTTCTGAAGCGGCATCTTGACTCTAACCAAACATCAAGATTCTTAGATGGTGAAAGGAAAGACTGCTAACCAGGTAGAAGGTCTTGAGGTGATTCTTCCTCTCTAAAAACCACAAAGAAACTGCCCACTGGGGTAAAAGGCACCAAGACTTCAGGTGAGAAAGATTAACTGGCCATCCTCTGCTTGCAGACCCTTAAAAACTGTTAACAGCTTAGCTCAAGCTTTATATGAAAGACTATGGATGCTGCTTTTATCTCAGCTCAACTCTTGTATCAAAAAGGAGTCAACGCGCACGGACTCCTTTCCAGGATTTCAGAAGCATTGTCCTCCGAACCATTTTATAGGGTCCCTCTGAACACAGCAATACACCAAACAGCTGAAGAAATCAACACGTCTTACCTCGCAGCTGGTACCCAAGAAGTCATTGGGAAATCTGACCACCAGGCCGGCACCTGGTTTCCTGCGTCCCACTCCAGACCTACTCAGTCAGACTATCCGGGGATGGGATGGGGTCCGAGAATCTGCATTTTAAAAGGGCCGCAGAAGAGCTTGTTTTCTACTAGTTTAAGAACCACTGCTAAGTCCGAACAGGTGTCCTCCTTTAACCCCCGGGCGGACGTTGGCATCCACGTGGGCCACCAACTCTCCAGCAACGTGCTTCAACTCTCGGTCTCAGTTGCTTAAGTTTTCTGCAAAAACGAGCACGCTCCAGCGACTGGTACTTGGTATATCATAAAAATGTGCTTCCCGTCTTACATGTTGTGAAAACACCATTTCCAACCAGGCCTCCCCACATCTCCCGAGGAGCCGGGAGCCGTTCCAAGACCGTAGGAATAGAGCCCGCTCCTCACCTGGAGCCTCGGTGGCCCCACCTCGTAGAGAAGGTGCAGGGAAGCCAGCAATAAGCCCAAAGTCCCCATTCCGCTGGAAACGGCCAGGTATCCTCCCCGACTCGACCTGGAGGCCACCCCGCGGGCTCCCTCGGCCCCCCTCAGGCTGGGTTCTGCAAACCCCTAGCCCCGGCGGCCAAGAACACTGGGCGAGTGCACAGACTGAGAACAGGCCTGGCCCTAAACCTCAAGCCAGACACAGCCCCCCATCTCCTCGGCGAAGAAGCTGGAGCCCGGGTCTCGCAGCCAGGCCCGGGCCCAGGCCACACTCACCTACCGACGCGCGGGAGGCGGGACACCCTCTCCTCGGTAGCGCTCACCCCCGAACCGCCACCGCCAACGCCAACGCCGCTTACTTTTTAGGGGTTAAAAAAAAGAAAGAACAGAAAAAGAAAATAGCCTTTGCTTTTGTATTCCTTTTGACCCTTCAGGGCTTCCTGTTCCTCGCCGCCACAACAAAAGTCCACCCCGCTTCCGGCGGCGAAACCCAATCCGCGACTCTCTTCCTCCCCGGGAGTCCGATGGAAATCCGGTGCCCGGAAAGCGGGCGGGAGACACTGGATTGGGCCATTCACCCCTCAGCCAGCGGATTGGCCAGCTCGCGCCTGGGGGGCGGGCCGGGCCGTGCGATCACGTGGTGCCTCCCAGGAAAGATGATTGGTTGTCAGGGAGAGGGATTGCCACCGAGGAAGGGGCGTTTCCTAGGGGACTGAAGGAGGGCCTGGGGCGGTACGGAGCGGGGGTGGGCCCGGCACGTAATGGCAGCGCCGTGGCCCCGCGTCCATCTTTACCGCTCTCTCGGACCTGTCACAAAGGAGTCGCGCCGCCGCTGCCTCCCCCTCTCTCGATCGGACCTGGGAGCTGGAGCAAGTCAGTGCCGCAGCCCAGCCGCCGTGCCCCGGGAAGCCCCTGGGGACGCGGAGCGGGGGGAAGTCCGAGGGCAGGGGACGTCTCGGGGAGGGAGGGGACAGTCCCCGAGTCTGCGGCGGGAGACCGGACTAGGGTCGGGGGAGGCTCGGGGAAGGGGCCCCGGAAGGGCGGCGTTTGGCAGAGCCCGGGAAACAGCCCGGAGATTCTCCACGGAGGCCCGCGCGGAAGGCGCCTGAAGAGGTTCCTGGAAGAGGGTGTTCCCCCTTTAGGGGGATGTTGACCGGAGGAGGTGCTCGGGGGTCGCCCTTCTGAGAAGGCCGCGGCGAAAGGGGCCCAGGTGAGAGGCAGGCAGCTCCTGGGAGGCTCCTGATGTTTTAGGAGGGCTCTCAGGGGTGTCCGGGGCGGAAGGGGCCGATGGGAGGACGCTCTGGGAGGGTTTCCTTTTGTGGAGTTTGAGGTTTAGGTGGCCCGGGTGCGAAGCAGACATTCCCCCGGGAGCCATAAAAATGCCGCGGGGTGGAGAGATGCCTCGGAGAGAGAGAGGAGGGCTAGGAGTCTGGAGCCCGAGCTAGCGGATTCGCGGAGGCCCGACGTGGAAAGCGGGCAAGGGCCTCGGGGAGAGGGGCTCGCTGGGCGGTTCTGGGAAGGAGAGACCCCGATCCGCGGGAAAGCCTCGGGGAGGATCCGTGAGCGGGTGGCAGGAATGGCACGCCGGTCCCCTCGGAGCCTGACCCGGGGTCTTGACCACGGAATCCAGCTGCTTCGGGGCTTCGTGCAGGTGGGGTGGGAGGAGTCCGTTCCCACCAAGGCTCCCTGCGCGAGTCTAGATCCAGCTTTGGCCCCCTCCCGGCGGCCTCAGTTTCCCTGTCTTTGGGGGGAGACATCGAGGCCGAGATGGTCCCCCGAGACTGCAGTGCTGCCCTTTCTGAACGAGGCTCATCTCCTCGGAGTGATGCACTTTGAACTTTTAAGGGCTGGACGCCTCAGACAAGTGACTCCACCAACCCAGGTCTGTCCGGTAACGTCACGCGGTGTGGCAAGGACTGTGATTGTGCCACCTAAGGGCCTGCTGTTGAGGAAGGAAAGTGGAGGCACCTTCTAAACCAAAGCTGGGTTCAGCGGTTCTCAACCTGTGGGTCGCGACCCCTTTGGGGGCCGAACGACCCTTTCACAGGGGTCGCCTAAGACCATCGGAAAACACATATATAATTACATATTGTTTTTGTGATTCATCACTAGGCTTTCATTATGTTCAATTTGTAACAATGAAATTGGGGGTCACCACAACATGAGGGACTGTATTAAAGGGTCGCGGCATTAGGAAGGTTGAGAACCACTGGTAGATGGAAGGGGTTCGCTTTCACACAGTAATGGTCCATCACTTTGGGAGCCATACGAGACCGAAAGCGTCCAGGTTCACAGCTGCGTAGGTCCTATCATACTCCAACCCCAAGGTTTCAACCCCTGCGGCGATGCGGGTGGAGGGATTCCCGGTGTTTGCTCAGAGTTTTAATTTACTCTGAAATGCTGGTGGTGCTGGCAGGAGGCAGCCCTAGAACATAATCTTTTTCCTTCAGGAAGTTTGTCCGCTGACCGCTGACATTTTCTTCCATGTAATTTCATCTCAATAGTGTAAACTACCTCCCCTTTTTTCACATATGTATTTGTTGTTTGTTTGTTTGTTTTCATGGCCTTTGGATGTCTACAGGTAGGAAATCTTTCTTCCTTCCTCGGTTGTGATTTTTGTAAGTGAGACTTCCTTTTTCCTCCATGGAAATTAAGCCTTCCTATAGTAGTTTCAAACTAAAGATGAGCAATTGCTTTTAAATTCCTCTTCCACAATGGTTTATTTTCCACCACTGATAGTTAGCGTTTGCATTTCCTGGGGTGACATCCTGCCGTGTGGCTCCTCTATGAGGTGATAAGACACTTGTGTCCAGGTGTGACATTTTCCTGATGTTTCGTTAGTGGCATTTGTTGGAGTTGTTTTTCCAAATATTCACGAATTTATGATTTTCTGAAGCTTGTTGCTTTTCAACAAAAAGCTGGCTCGTGTTTCCTGTTTTTCTGGTCTTACATTTCATGGGTCTTTTAAAAAAGAATCACTGTGGTGATTTTGTAAGGTTTCTCATTTTCCAGGATACACGTTGTCCTGACCTACTGCCTAATGTCTGTCTGTGACCTGCTTTTGGCTGTTTACACAAACCCTTCATTATTTCTGTACTCCGTGATTATTTTTAAGTTATTGATTATAGGAAGTGTCCTAGCATACTCTATGTGGACTTTTTCTGCTTTGTCAGCAAAATAACTTTTCACTTAGTAAATTGGCTAAAAATCAAGAGGAAATAAAAACTTAACATTTTGTATAATAGTCTGCTACTCTGTAGTGAATAGGGAAGAACAACAACTCTGAAGTATGTTTTGGCAAGAGAACAACAAAAAAATCGTTGTGGGTTCCTGAAGTGCATTTACAACAGTTTATTTCAACTCATAAGCTTAATTCAGTCTGTCAAGAATTGCCTATACCAGTGATGGCGAACCTATGACACGCATGTCAGAGGTGACACGCGAACTCATTTTTTTGGTTGATTTTTCTTTGTTAAATGGCATTTAAATATATAAAATAAATATCAAAAATATAAATCTTTGTTTTACTATGGTTGCAAATATCAAAAAATTTCTATATGTGACACAGCACCAGAGAGTTAAGTTAGGGTTTTTCAAAATGCTGACACGCCGAGCTCAAAAGGTTCGCCATCACTGGCCTATACCTTCCCTAATAATAATTTGTTATAATGAAAGGAGACGTCACGTTGCATCCTTTAAAATACAACTCTCTTGGATACTCTAATAGCGATTTAGGTTGAGAAGTTATTAGGAATTCTTGAGGACGGAAATCACTACTTTAAATTGGACATTTTCTGCTTTGTGGTGGGATCTTTATAAAGTAGGAGGTGATAGCCACCGGGTTGCACCACAGATGGGAACCACAGTGGAACCAGTAATCTATTTCAAAAGAGTTATTTGGGGGAAGTAAACTCTCAATTCAGCGTCTCTCAAATATTTGATATTTTCAAGGCATTTACCATTGAAATAGCATGGTTACCCGCGCCCCCTCCGTATTCAAATTAGAAAATTGAAAAATAGAATAGTCAGGAAGTAGTGAACCAAAACTTGGACCACAGCCTTTAGGAGACTTACAAGTTTTAGGAGTGTAAAAGAAAGAGCATTTTCCCTTTGGTTTATCTATTCAATAAGTCAGCTTCTGAAATAGTTATCTTGCCAATCTTTATGGTTAGAAAAAAAGCACATATTTGTTTTACTTCACTCTCAGTGTCCATTCCAAAAGGAAATGCTTGCTTGCTGTATTTTTTTCAGCAAGCAAGAGCATGTTTAAGAGCATATTTAACTGTGGACAATTGTGTGATACATACAGGGCTAAATGAGGTAAAGTTAATCTTATAAACAGTGGGGGGCTCCCCTTTCTCCCTTTCTGAGCTTTTGAAAACTAAGAACGCATTTAAGATAGCAAAGAATTGGTGCACTCCTTAAGTTTGTTAAGGAATGAACCCTGCTCATAGCTTTCTTATTGCTTGAAATTATAGTTTCCAGGCATAATTTCATGGGTCCTATACACATCAAATAGAAGGTTTGAAATACCTTACTTGGCCAGTTTATTATTACCTCATAGTTTAATGTTACAGTGTTAGCTTATTCTCACCCCTTCTACCTTCTGAAGAATCACGTTTTTCTCTTCAGAGATCCCTTGGTGCCTTGGTTCCCAAAGTCTGACTCCTACCCTGCCCCACCCACCTTGTGGGAAGAGCAGCTCCTTTTTTCCGATTCTTACTGCTTCATAGTTATTCATACTTACACATGCCTAAGGGCTACTTATTCATAACCTACCAAGTGAATCATTAAGGGTTGCTAAAACATGGTGTTCATAAACCAAAACCAGCACACCAGAGCTTACTGCTGTCTGACACCTTTTTCTCCCAGGGCGCCTGGCCTGGGAACCTTGGCACCTGGCAAAGCTGCTTGCGTGTCACGTGCGGAGAGGGGTTCCTTAAGTCATCAGAATGGTGCTTATTTCCCATGGCGCTTCCTCTTGTGGTTTTTGGTGGTTTTGTTTTTCAGCAGAACTACTATTAGCTTCGTTATCAATTTAATTTATGGGCGTTTGGTTTACCTTTCACTGTGGTCAGGATATTTGTACCAACAATCTCTGGCTTATAATTTAAGACATGAATGTGTGGCAATGCAAATATAAACCCTCCCATACCCCCTTTTGCTAATGCTGATATGTAGTCACCTAAAAACTTGCTTGGACAGAAATACTTGATGTTACTAAGTTCCGTTTCCACTGGAAAAATGGAGGAATGAGAGGCCTGCTCCTGGTGAACCCGATGATCCTTTACCCGAGGCTTCACTGGCGTGTATTACGTTATGGGTCGGGCACTCCGGGTGTTGTCTATTGCTGTCCTTCGTCTCATTGCCAAGAGCATGAGGGACCTTTTTTTTTTCCATCTCTGCTCAGGGCCTGGCATGTAAGCATGATAATCATATTTATTGAATGTTTTTTGTTTTTCAAAGTGGTAAGTATTTTGGAAACATTCTCTACTTTTACAAATTTTAGAATAAATTCACTTAATGTCGTTATTGAATACCTTTTAGCTTCTAGGTAACCAACTGAGTGTTTTCAGACACCATTTGAAGTAGATTTCATTAAGGAACGTGTTGCTATCCATGCTGTTTATACATTTTGTTTGCTTCTCTTAATAGTAAAGAGTTTTCTATACTAGAAAAACCCTATCCTTCAGATTATGAATCATCTGTTTAAATAACACATCTGTATGAGTTCCTATTATTTCGTCCCCTGGGGGGAAATCCCGAGCACGGTGGAGTGTTATGTTTTTCTCCTTTGTGCTGCAGCCACCATTAGCACTTACCTCAGTTCTTCTGTAGTGTTTCCTTTTTGGGTCCAAGGCAAAATTTTCAGTCTTGAGACCTGGCAGGGATTATTTACTTCTCCTTTTTTCTTTCTTTCTCTCTCTCTTTTTTTTAAACTATTATTTGCTTCTGGGAATTTCTTAATCTATCCCAGCCCTAAATTTTATACTTTAATACATTTTTTGAATGCTGAAAGAATTCGTCTTATGTTTCATATAAGACTGTATTCTATAATTAATTCTTTTTAAAATACATTTTTATTGATATCAGGAATGAGAGGGAGAGAGAGATAGAAACATCAATGATAAGAGAGAATCATTGATCGGCTGCCTCCTGCACATCCCCCACTGGGGATCAAGCCGGTAACAGTCCACCTATGAACCAGGA